CAAAATATATTTGAAATGTCACTTCTATGTACATTTTTTACGTAGAAATGACGTTTCAGCCCCCACTTCTAAACTTTGTTTCGTTTTATCTAAGTATTGTTTTTTTATAAGACAAAATAAAAAAAATACGTGTCTAATATTTTTTCATTACCTAACTTACGGACTAATTCGATTTTTAATTTTCATACCCTGACATCATCCCTATTTAGTTTTCTACTCTCTCGATAGACGAGCGCTAAATAGCAATGGCACTAGTGAGAAGCGGTTGTTACATTTAATAATGTGCTCCTCTGCCCAAACCTTCGAGGAATAAAAGGATGTTATGTGTTTATGTAAGACTTCTGCGTGCTAGTCGCGCGTTTGTAAACTGTGTCGGTGGCGCATGCGTGGTGCTAAGTGCATGCGCTTGAGCAGTTGCCATGTCGTACAGTGAACTGTTGTATGCCAAGTGTAACTGTGGCATAGAGACAGTAGGAATACGTCTTAGTTTTGACATCAATTTTGCAGTAGTACTTAATATACCTGAGAGTAAAGAAACTGAGCCGCTACCATGTTTTCTTTTTCATTTCTTCATAAATATTTTCTAATACAAGTATTTTATTAATTGGTAACGTATATCGTATTAACTCGTCGAGTACCGGTTTTATAGACACAATTAAAGAACAATAGGTCGCGGTCACCGGTGACCGCTTGGTGTTTGACAGTTTAAAGGCAATTAATTTACTTATCCTTAAACTGTCAAACACCGAGCTGTCACCGGTGACCGCAACCTATTGTTGTTTAATTGTGTCTATAATGACGGTACTCGACGAGTTAAAATTAGAGCATTTTGTTGTAATAGGAATAATTTTTCAGTTATAGAGGGTTCGATAAAAAGCAATTACGTGCAATGTAATCGACCCTATTAGTCGCTCCGTTTTCGTCTACTTAAGTATTTTTCTTGGGTTTAGATTGATCTGATCAAATATCTATGTTAACTGATAGATAGGAATGTTATATGAATGGGTATTATTCAACTGTACATCCTGCATTCTAACCACCAGCGGTTTCTATTTCCTATGACGTGTCAATGGCTATTTTTGCTATGAAGTTAATTTACAATTTTATTGAATACTTTGTAATAGTAATAGGTGGGTTTACCTTAATGTGGTTCTTGATATTTTTTCTATAGCAAATATTGGTTCCACTTATCCTCGTTCTATTTAGGATTATCGTTAAAATTGTATGTTTAAAAGGTACCTATGTATGAACCTATCAGTACTAATAATAGTTATTTTTTCCTTTTTAGTTTTGACTTTTTGTACGGATCGCCATGCATGTAAAATACATAAAACGTGAAATAGTCAAACAGATGTCTACTAAATACTACTCATATGATGATAGGTTTCTTATTTTCGGGAATTTTTAAAGGGCATTTCATAACATGGACGCGAATTGGTGGATGTACGCAAACAGGCGATTTACCCTATTACAGATACAGATACAAATTTCTTAGTAGTGCAACAACAAAACTACTGAGAAACTGAGTGCAAATATTTCCGCAAAAACTGACTCACAGCTACATAACTATGAAAAATCTAGTAAAATGACCACATTATATCACCGCATTGGTCACAGTAACACTGTTCTAGATAAAAAGAGGAAAAAAACAAGGCTTTGTTTAAAAATCTAGGCTATCTCGCTTGAGAACTGTTTCTAAATGTTTTGGTTCCGCTAGTCTTTGTTGTGTCTTTGGTTAGAAGCACGACTCTCGAATATAATATCTGCAGTTCGATACCATCGAATTTAGTAGTCATTATTGGGTTTTTCGAAGTCGAAATTCGCAGTAACAACACCAATGTTGTGGATTTCGGCGAATTTTGTTTCCACTATTGACTTTCGAACTTGTGATTCATATTTTATGTAATTACAACACCTCCCAAGCGTTGTAAAATATTAGATATATTATATTGTATTGTATTCTCGAAAATGTAACTTTTCATTAATATAAAATCATTTAATTAATAATTTAAATAATAAACTGGTCATTCACTTACATTTTCCTTCCTGCGATTCACTTCAATGTTTTAAGGTTTTTTATTCATTATTTCCTCAGAAATAAAATAAGAGCTGTCTAATTTTATTAAAAAAGAAATATATCCTTAAAAGGTTTATCTGCCTTGTCGTATTGTTTGCAATAGATGTCTCTCTAGTGCAGCAGACAACTAAAATAAACTATTCGGTAATAGTTTTTTTAAAATAAGACTCCTAGTTATGCTAGATATTCCACCTGACCTCTCCCCATTTACCCGACTATCGATACAGTAATTTTAATCTTATAACCATATACATAAGTATTATCAGCTATGTACAGTAGCCTGAAGCCCTATATGGCTCGGCTCAGTGCATTGATGCGCAAGAGATGCTTGCCACTCTTACGTAAGCACCCTGTAGGTTATGTCCACTCTGACGTCATACTCATGAGTAATGCAAATTAATCCGTAATTATGTTGGGATTAAGTTACATTTGAATGTGCATTGTAGTTTTTCAATACCATTAGGCCCCTTAAGTTGTAACTTGTAGGTTAATTTTAAAATATTAGCTGTTTGTAGAATTGCACTCAAGTCATGTGAATTGGTGCATACAAAATGTTCTATTTTTCAGTCGAAGCAAACGTATTTTCATTTTAATTGAGAAGTATACAAATAATTTATTATTTAGAGCTTCATTTAGGCAGTTCATGTACTGGAAAAATACTATTTTGATGGGTATATACTATATTTTGTTTAGTGAAATTCTAGTTCGTCTCGCGTGTCGCCACTGTCGTTTTTAATCGCCGCGGAAATAACCAAAGTGAAATGAAAGTGATTTATATTGTATTTACTTATAACTGTAACAGTTCGACGTTTCATAACGATTGCAGAAGTGCATCCATTTTGAAATATCAGTCTGAAATATTTCAGAGCCTTTGTTATGTAATGTAATTGATATTAAGGTTATTTGCGTTTTATAATCATTCTGCAAATTACGGATATTTTATTTTCGTCTAAATATTCCATTTGAAATCGGTGTTATTGTTTAAACAATTTGTTCTTAAAATTAATCTATTTATTGTTTTAAATGAATAAATGGTTTTAATTCTGTATATGTGCAATCATGGCGGTGACATTTTATCTATTAAAACCCCCTTAAAAATGGATTTAAGATCAATAAGAATTCAAGTTCTACGCCTACGCGCAACGCATTTCAATTTAAAATTAACATAAAAATATTCAATTTGGATAAAGAAACTTAAATAATTTTATTCGTTGATCTTGATACCGACCGAATAAAATAATTGTATAGTCTAGCAAATATAACCTACTTTCATATCGCCGAACAATATCCGATATTGTCAATAACTGTCACGGAGTACAGTCATAGAGAACACAAAGGTTTTTTTTATAATGTATCGACAATCGTGGCAGAGGTCACAAGAATGTACAACAATAGTTTTATTTACTTGCTGTGCGCACTGTGGCACAGACACGCGAAGGTTAGGGCTTATATACCTGTTTCTGATGCACTATGCATATTTAGAGGTGCTTTTTTTCTCTTTTTGCAATTAAAACGTACCTATTTAAGTCTTTGTTAATATAGGTGTTCAGTTTGTCCTACTAAAGTTTTACTAGATACCTAAAATGACTGGGAAGAATGAGAGAAATAAGTAAATATTATGACTTTTATTTACAGTGCTTTTTGTTCATCTCTGAAACTGCTAGTTGGATTTGGGATTATCTTTTTGTATTTATTGGCTCAGTTGTTGAGGAAGGTTAAATTCAATCACGCTAGGATACATTAAGAATAAATTATGTTTATAAGTTTAGATACAATAATCGTCTGACTCGTTCTCTTCATTACTGAAGGTCGTGTCTGGTTTGGTGCAGGCGTTACTTGATGCACAACGCTCCTCCAAACGCCCCTGTCCTCTGCGGTCTTTATGGCTTGTGGAACTGTCAGGTCGGCTAGGTTTTTTACAGCATCCAACCAACGGTTAGGTGAGCGACCACGAGGTATTTTCCTGTTAACCTGATCAACAACCACAAGCTTCTCCAGATTATTGGGGTCTCTACGCAATAACTCTCTAATACAATGATAAATAATAAAGATGTTTGTGCACTTATATTTACGACTAAGTGAATATTGACAGCGACTTTGTAGTACATCGTGCTCTTTAAAAAAATGATCCTAGATGTGCTTTCCTAGACTATTTACCTCATTCCATGCCGAAGTCCTCTTATCCAATTACTATTTTACAAGATTTATCCGTCATATAAAATCGTATTATACATAGATGCCGTTACTGTCGCGTAATATATCTTCTATCATAAACGCGTTAGTCAAAAAAGGAAATCGAAGCGAGTTTGCCCGTTCTGATTTGTAAATAAAAAAAGTTTATCTACTTTTTCATACAACATGTGGTCTGGTAAAAAATATTGTGAAGTAACCCATGACTCATTAAGCACATACTGGTTGAATGTATTTAATTACCAGTATGGCAGTACATAAGCAGAATATATATTCTGCTTATGTACTGTAGGAAATTATCTGATTATTTAGTACAATACTGCATTAATGCTTATAGGAAAACTGTGAGCCAATCACTAGAGAAACTAATGTAATATATTATTGTGAAGTATTTGTTTGTTTAACCACGCTAGTCTTGGGACTTTCCTTTTAGCTTTAATAGCATATCTATCTGTCATGTTAGAAGTTTTTTCTTTAATCAAGCACTGTTTAACAAGTCCCGAATTAGATTTATTTAGCATAGCTGACGAATATTTTCATGTAGTTTAAATTGATGATACATCGAATACTACAGATTAGTTAGATTAAGGAAAACTTAATCAAATGTCGTTTAGTATTATAGAACCTACATGAGGAAGCTATGAACAGTCTTAAAACAATTTTAAATATTTTTTATCAAGCTTCTCTCTACTATATGCCAAAAACTTTTAACAAAGGTTTCAATTCTCCACAGCAACATCTCTATGGTACGTGAGGCTCAACATTCCCGCCAACGCGTCGATCCTCAATGGCAGCTGTTCAGACCCTGACCAATGGATCCAGATCACCTGGAAGACAAACAACGACAGCGTGACCAACAACACTATGACCCTCGTGTACCACAAGAATGCCACCACTAAGAACTACGGACTGAAGAGCCTGAACTTCACCCTGACGCCCGATAACTTCGTCAATGGATGTGAGTATTTGTTTTCTACTTATTTCTCCTTTTGTATGGGATAGTACGACAAACCGCAGACGAGCAAATGGATCACTTGATGGTAAGCAATCTGCGCCGCTCATCAGCCCATGGATGCTGCAACACTGACTTTGACTGCATGGTTGGTGCGGTGGTTAGACAACAGGCAACTGCGCAACGTGTCGCGGGTTCGATTCCCGCATGGGACAACTCTTTGTGTCGACATATTGTTGTTCCAGGTCTGCGTGTCATGTGTATGCGAAATTGTATGTTTGTAAACGCACCACGACACAGGAAAAAATCCTAATGTAGGGCAACGCTTTTTTAATGCACCAGTGGAGTTAGAAGTTTAGTGTGTTGTTGGCTTTTTGGGGATTGGGAACTGGGATGGATGGGACGATTGGATCTCCTGGTAACTTCACGCACGTAGTAAACAACGCACGTGTTGTTTCACGTTGGTTCCTTGTGAACTTTTGTCCAAAGTAACTTAATTTGGATCAGAACTTCAGGACAATATGTCTTCTTTTTTCTTTTATAAACCATCGAACCGCGTTCCGTAATTTCTTCCTACCTTCCGCATACAATTTGGTTGAACATGTTCATAAATGCAAGTTTAGATCAGAGCACAGATTTATTAACAGAGAATATTTGTATGAAATAATGTTATGTAAATTAAGTTGTTTATTTTAGCTAATTATGTGTTTACTATGTAAATGAAGCGTGGACAACGTCTCCAATAAATTATGTTCATCGACTTGTATCGGGCTGCGTACCGTACACCAGTTGACCTCAATTGACCCCTGAACTTGAGTTTATCGATACATACATACTTGTATTTATTTATATAATTATATTATTTACGCAGATGACAATACGATCCGTTAAATACGCACAAATTAATTAAATACATATCCTATTTAATATTGATTTACCAATTAGTCATATGAAGATTATGAAGTTCTGAAGTTCTATCCCCGAGTCTGAGACAGTATTTGAATTACAAAATGTCTGCCCTTTGTAAAAATAGAGCAATAGCCTACATTTTTACGGAGCCGCAGAGAACCTAACGGGTTACCGGGACTCCGGCTCGAAGTGCAGGAGTAGGAACGGGGTGGTTTTTAGTCAGTAAGAGTTTGACACTCCCTCCCGCCTGGGTGAAGCGGGAGGGAGTTTATTTTTTGGGGAATTACAGACAATGTTATATTCTGATGGCAACAATAAATATGTATAAATATTAAGTCAAAATTACCTACATTACAATTAATCTACTATCAAACAAAATGTATAATATAAAAAATTATTTTTCCAGCAAAGGACCCGATGGAATTGTACCACGGACCGGAATGGGTCACCCCACTGGCTACCTCGTACCGCTGCAAGTCCGCCACCCAACTTAACTTGACCTCCGAGTCTCCCAGCGCTGTGGGTGTGCTGACACTGTCTCGTCTGCAAGAAGAAGCCTTCCGTACTACTGCTGGCAGTGGATTCAGTGCTGGTGAGTAAAAAAACAACATAACATCTTTTATCCCCGAAGGAGTAGGCAGAGGTGCACATTACGGCACTTAATGCCACTGTACAATGTAACACCCACTTTTCTCTATTTATGTCATGAGTCGCATGTAATTAGGGGGGGGGGGGGGGGGTGCCATATATCTGGCACATTTCCATGATACTACTGAAAAGTTTTTTTAAAACAAACCCAGTAATACTTTGCCCGACCCGGGAATCGAACCCGAGACCCCTTGGCCGGCAGTCGCACATGCGACTTCTCGGCCGACGAGGCAGTAAAAAATACAATCATATTATATAATAATAACTGGCCTATTCATAATCAAGTACAAAAATTATACCACAATGTCGCTCCATTGCGACGTCAAACTAGAGCTAAACTAACATTTTATGCGCATTTTTAGTACAAGTAAGGATTAGTGCATGCTCAGCTAGTTTTATATAAATAGTTGAAAAGTGTGAAGTGATAAAGTAAGACTAAGAATGTGGTAAAATAAGAATGTGATATATAAATAAGATACTGTATCAAAACTATGAGCTATTCCACGATGTGTAGCTGAAAAAATACGAGAATAGCTCTACTAGTTTAGAGTGACTGAGGGACTCTTCTTCATGAACAGCGTGTGCGGTCATGCGGTCGCGGCGATGTCGCATAGCCTACGTGCGATGTGTATCTTTTTATCAATGTAAATAAAACCACATGATTATAAAATCAAAGTCAAAATCATTCACTTCAATTAGATCAGGAAGGCACTTGGGTACGTCAAAACAAAATATTGAAATATTATAAAAAAAAAATAGTCTGTCGGTCAGTCCCCTAGTGAAGCTGTTTACTATAGGCTTGTTTTACATGTTTCCGTGTGAATGAGATTATTTGCCGCGGTAAAGTAGCCCTTAATAACATGTCACTGTTCTACACTCGATACATACATTGATTCATTATTTTGTCTGAAATAGTATATTTTACAAATTTAGTCATTTTCATTGTCATCTCTTCGTGGAATTGATATTATGTAATTCAATCTTTTTTTCACTGACTCAGAGGAACCGGATATTTATTTCAATAACATGATAAACAAAATCAACGAGTTTTATTATATATGTATTTTTAAATGTGATGCGAATAAATGTTGGGTCCTAACATACAGATTTTAAAGAGGAAAGACTTGATTGTTTGTTTGTTTGTCTTAAATAGGCTCCGAAACTACTGAACCGTTAAGAAAATGTATATTAAATAGTTGACCTTCCAGTTAGTTACTATAAAACTCCTGAAAGTTTGACAACCAAACTAGCAGAATTTAGTAAAGATACATACGTAAACATACCATCACGCCTTTTATCCCCGATGGGGTAGGCAGAGGTGCACACAGAAGTAACGCCAACTTTTCACTATTTATGTTATGAGTCCCATGTAATAGGGGGTGAGCCTATTGCCATATACCGGGCACAGTTCCAGACTTCGTGCTACTACTGAGAATTTATAAAAACCCAGTAATACTTTGCCCGACCCGGGAATCGAACCCGAGACCCGTTGCCCGGCAGTCACACTTGCGACCACTCGGCCACGAGCCAGTCATCAGAATTTAGTAGTGTGATAATATTGCATTTTAATAAGTTTTAAATACAAGCTCATAGTACAGTGAACAACTAGATTACCTACCATTCAGGCATCACGAACAGTCCCGATTGTATCGGTTGCGTTATCAGGCGTTATCAAACGTCTGGCGGCGCGTACGCAACTCCCGACCATCACGCTTTTTGTACGTCGTTCTTTGGCGCTTGCGATTATTCATTATTTCTGCATAAAAATCAATTTTTTCAGCTTGCGCAGGCTCACCAGTTTTGTTAAAAACAACATTGATTTGATACTTATCGATTAGACGTCAATGACCTATTTGTCGAGGAATTATTGAATGATAAAATATAAGAATGAAATACATTAGACATTCTTTCCACAATTAGAGGAAATTGCTGTAGAATAAGTTTTCATGATGAAAGTACTTTTCTCTTTAACGCATAACATCACGCCTTTTATCCCCGAAGGGGTAGGCAGTGGAAAATTATGCTACTGTACAATATAACACCCACTTTTCACTATTTATGTTATGACTCCCATGTCATAGGGGTGAGCCTATTGCCATATACCGGGCACAATTCCAGACTCTGTGATACTACTGAGAATAAAAAAAAACCAGTAATACTTTGCCCGGGCAGGGAATTGAACCTGAGACTCCTTGCCTAGCAGTCGCATTTGCGACCACTTGGCTAACGAGGCAGTTTTCTCTTTGAATACAAATAAAATCGTAGAACTTGTTCAATACTATCGTGAGACATTAAAGGATTAATTACGCAGTACATATTATTCGCTTAACTGTTTGACGAACAACTCGACCAGTTACAAACTTCGCTTAATGTACACATACATAACGTCACGCCTTTTATCCGCGAAGGGGTAGGCAGAGGTGCACATTACACCACTGAATGCCACCGTACAATGTAACTGACACCCACTTTTCACTATTTATGTTAGGAGTCCCATGTCATAAGGCCTTAGGCCTTATTACCATATTGGCACAATTCCAGACTCAATGCTACTACTGAGATTTTTTCGCATTCGCATAATTGACTTCTAGTATTGCTAGGAAATAGAGATTACAGAGTAAAGCTAGAGTTCAGTGGACGTACCGATACAGGCGAGTTTAATCGTTGGTACGAGACGGTCAGGGTCACTGGAATTGTAGATAGTGTTACTATGTTAACTCGTATAGATGATGATAGTGTTCTAAAATACATACATACATAACTTCACGCCTGTCTCCCATCGGGGTAGGCAGAGACTAAGGAACGCCAATTACCACGATTCTTACATACCTCTTTCGCTTCATTAACAGTCATCAATCTTTTCATGCATGCTCGTCGGTTAAGGGTACTTTTAATTTGGCCCTTCTTTAATATATCGCCAATCTGGTCACTATATGTCCGTCTAGGGCGCCCTCTACCGGCTAAAATAGTGTTATTAGAGAGAGGTGTGGATTGAAAGACGATGTAGTGACAAGGATTGAAAAGGGAATGTTACGCTGGTTTGGACATGTAGAAAGGATGGATGAAAGTAGAGTAACGAAAGAAGTATACAGAGCGGATATGAATGGAGCCGTCGGTAGAGGGCGCCCTAGACGGACATAGTGACCAGATTGGCGATATATTAAAGAAGGGTAAATTAAAAGTACCCTTAACCGACGAGCATGCATGAAAAGATTGATGACTGTTAATGAAGCGAAAGAGGTATGTAAGAATCGTAGTAATTGGCGTTCCTTAGTCTCTGCCTACCCCCATGGGAGACAGGCGTGAAGTTATGTATGTATGTAATAGTATAGTTTACTTTTAAAGTTATAAATACTTCTAGTTTATGACAACAGCTTCGCCCGCGTTTCAGTTGAATAAAATGGCCTATCTGTTATTCCAAACGATGGTCTATTTTGTTGGATGGAAATTTGTAACAGCGGTAAATGTACCGCTGTTATAAATTTCATCGAGGTGACGGAGTGACAATAAATAAACATAAAAAGTTGCGCATTACATTGGAAATTAGTAGAATTTGTCACCAAGTCAAAACTTGATGAGTTCTATTCATGAGTTGTAAATAATAATCATTAAGTTTTTTGATTTTTTAAATGTATTAGTGTGTTGCAATTACCCTTCTTCTACAATAGAAATAAGAAAAATACATTCATCTTTCGGACATTTCCAAGTATGCCATCTGCACATCTCGCCTTTTATCCCCGAAGGGGTAGGCAGAGGTGCACATTACGCCACTTAATGCTACTGTATAATGTAACGCCCACTTTTCACTATTTATATTATGAGTCCCATGTAATAGGGGGTGAGCCTATTGCCATATACCGGCCACAATTCTAGACTCTGTGCTAGTACTGATATTAATTTAAAAATCCCAGTAATACTTTGCCCGGCAGTCGCCCTTGGGATCGCCGGCCAACGAATTATTGTGATTGTACTGACGTATAATTTGTTATATTACAGCCCGCGACTGCGGCGGCGGTGACGTCCCCGACGCGGTGCCCATTGCCGTGGGCTGTGCGCTGGGCGGGCTGGTGGTGGTCGTGCTGATAGCGTACCTCGTGGGCCGCCGGTACTCCGCCTCCCGCGGGTACCTCTCCATGTAGACTGCAAGGTATGTAGCCCGCACATCTGATAGTCACTCATTCTGTCTAACAGCTTTTAATGAGCCCAGGATAAGATCTCAGACCATTTTGAGACTGAACCCAGACGACAAACCCATTGTCATATTCATCTATTTGAGTATATCTACATATCAATGCTTTTGGGTGTTAAATAACACTTTTTTAACTGTACTTATTTTCCTTTGTACTCCTACAATGGAATAACAAATGATTACATGGGTCTACGACATATCATGTTTATAATTCCTTAATGTTATTTTGGTTGATCTCCATTGTAGGATCCTAACTTACAGGATTTTCACTGGCTGAGTATCTCCAGGTGTTGAACATTAATTAGTTAACCATGTTTATAATGAAGCCATTTCTTATTTACAGATGTCAGCCGCTCAGCGAATCGGCGAAAGTAGTCAATATATGAAAATATAGAAAACAGTTATACATTGTTTGCATCGCATTTACCCACACCCGTCACACATGACTAAAGTCCACTACTCTGCTTACCTTCCATTTGTATCATCTCAGTTACTGTGGTAAATATAAATAACGTCTTTTAAAGCTGGGCTTTAATAAATTCAAGGATTTGTCCAACGTTGGGTCAATGTGAAAATATTTTAAGTAGAATACATATTAAATTCTTTAATTTCTCGTCCCAATCTCAATGTTAATGGCATCTTCCACATTGGCCAGTAATATTTCAAGTATTTGAATCCCAAATTTGGCTTCAGTGTTCAAATAGCGAGCAGATAGTGTATAGTTGAATTTGCTCAAAATTAAAACAATTATTCCATGTCTAATTGATTCCGGTCTTGTGTTAGCAATTTACGTACTTTTAGTACTCTGTGGTTGCATTCGAGAACTGACCATAATGTAACCTAAGTACTAAATGTTTGTTTTTTTCTCAAAAAAATATTTTTCCTAAGCCATTGTTGTTTTCGGCCATAGTAGCGTAAAAAAACTCAAAAATAAACAACATAGATACAGTAACATTGTAAAAATGTGATTTAGTAGTAATTTTAAAACTGTGTGTATAGAATAGTATTTTTTGTTTGTCAAAATTTCGCAATAATTATTTTATTTCTCCGTTTTTTTTGTAGACTTTTTATATTTTTATGTGCTTTGTTTAGTCCAAAGATTTTATTTTCATTTCAGTTATATGCACGTATAACTAAACATTATATGTATATGGGGTCAATTTATTGTCAAAATGTCCATAATATCCATAAATATTATAAACAATCCGTTTAGGTATAGTTAGTCGATAATAAAATGAATGCAGTGTCTTTCTTTTATTAGAATTTAGTATTCAGACTATTTTAAGTGTAACATTAAAGCTGGACAATGTCATTGCTAAATTGTTTACATCTGTGGTCACCAGTGTTGCCATGCCTCAAGTTACATTACGTCACCAAGTACAATAACTATCTCGTGAAAGTTGAGACAGCCATTCCTTCATACGAGTCTGGCAAGACTGGTGATCACAGATAATATTTCATTAACTATCGCCAGAGTATAAAATATTAATTAGAAATGGCAATGAGTTGCCCAGTGATGCGGCTACGTTATTTGCAGTCGGCTATAATAAATAACTAAAGACTGCAGGTAACACGCCAGGTGATGGAGTGAAGGGTATTGTCGGGAGTTCCGAGTCCGGATGAAGTCTTCTATACGGTTGACTTGTACAACGTTTATATATTTTAAAAGAACATTGTATTATTCATGTACAAAGTCACCCGCACAGTGGACCGAAGACAACTTACTGAAATGTGAAATACTAACAAAGCATTATCTCTGTTTAGTATCAAATATTCATGTTTTCGTAAGCCGTGCCGATTGATGTACGATTCGAAAAAGAAATAAATGTTTTTTATTGCCACAGTCGACTTTTATTTCTCCTCAAAAGCTTGTTACAATAAATACGTATATTATATACAACGACCAAAACTATGTACAATTATATCTACTGAACACTTTTTTGTTAATTAATAAATTATATTTGTGACAAACATCGCTCTTTTATCTATTAAAGCAAGTCCCTATTTATTTACAACAGTACTCATTACTTGAACGTAAGTGCTCATAGAATAAAACTAATTTTTAAAACTATGCAAAATTAATTTCGAGGAAAAACATTTCTATGCAGCAAAAAGGGGTACGACCCACCCACTGAATTGGACCACAGGTAAAATATTTTACTTACAATATTATTACAAAAAAGACCTAAAACTAAAAAATATTCAATACTCATACATAGTTCCACTAATCAACAAAAATACACTATTTTATTCCGAAGCTAAAGATTATTAACAACATCTAAAAGAATCCTACACAAAAAAGAGCATCAAAATGACATGACTCGAGAAAATGTACCAGGGTTGCATCACTTCAGAGTTATTCGTACAAATATCGTTGTACATAGAATATTTTATTACAATTTTGTATTAAAGTGTGTAGGATGATTCTTGGACTCGGTAGCCAATAAAAAGAAAAAAAAATACAATCCACCTTTTATTATATACTTTTTGCTGTGTTATGAACTCCAGGTAGGTTCTTCGGAATAAATATGGTTTATTTTGTTGCAAGTGATTAGGTATTATAGTGGAACTATAATGAAGTAGTTATTTTATTTATTTTCAGCCGTGATCGTACCAATGCAGGGCCTCCCTGCCCTCCTTCCACTCCTGAATAATGAAGTAATCGAGTATTTTTTTAATTTAATACTTTTTTGTGAATACTAACATGTAAGTAAAATAAATCTTGTTTTAATTTATCAGTATTTTTATTTCAACAATAACTTCGGTTCACAATAACACACTGACTGGACAAGTCGTGCCCCAGGTAAAACATTTACAGTAAGATTTCCAAACAAAGGATATTTGACAAAAAAGTGCGAACCTATAAAATACATACAAAGAAATAATTGACCAATAAAATCAATTATTATTTAAAACAAATCTAGCAAAGTCATCAAGTGAAGAACATTTTGTTTTTTTATCTAGGACTTTAAGGTTTTCAATACCTCGGTTTTGTCCATGTGATTGGAGGGAAACTATTCATGATAGAAAATAAATAAAGAATTTATTTTTGTACTTACTTATAATATAAAGTCACTTGTCAATCTATTTTTTGTAAAAACTGTTCGGTTTATTTATAAATTCTCAGATAGATAATTAATAAATTGGAGCTTCTGATTAAGATCAATCAGTTAGCTGACTGATTAAACTGAAGGAGTACGCATCATCATAAATATTTTAATTGACTGTTGAACTATTTGAAATAAAAAAAAATACTCATAAACAAGGAACTGGCTGAATGTCTAGCCCAATCAGAAATTATAAAAGACCGCCAAATGGGCGCGACTTTTGACTACAAAGTTTTATCTGTGGTCAAGCTACTCGATACAATTAAACTTATGTCTATTAATTAAAACAAAGTTATGTAGTCTACCTAATATGTACAAATTATTATAAAAATACTGGTAGCAGTTATTAAGTACGTGTATTTACATTTTAAATCGAGTATTGGTCGCTGGAGTGATTGTTGTCGCGGACTACTTCAATTCGTGAACAAAAAAAAATCCACTTTGATAAATCTATAAAAATGTATTTTTACTAAGTCATTTATGTTAATAGTAATCACGACTAGTTTGAATAATGATGTTTATTACGTATTCTATGGCAGAATATTATTAAAATGTGAATTAAATAGTTCGCGACAGTGTCTAGCCTATAATTAACTTATTACATAGCCTCATTAAAGCCTCACTGTCTAAGTGTCTACACATTTCTACACGTATTACAAGGCATTATTAGAAAACTGTTCATTTAAAAATGTTTGTGTTTAATGGCAACACTTTGATTAAAACAAAATATCCAAACAAAATGATACTTCTCTCAGACAAAATATATGATTTGCGAGAACCATAAAATATATCAGTGATTTATTTATCATGATATAAGTCATACGTTATTTTCATATTATGATGATTTTAATATTAATCATTTGCTAACATTTTATTAACTCGCGTTATTACCAAAACAAAACACCAGTCTATGTTCTGATTGTTCTCAGAACTCATTATTATTCATGTAGATACCTATTTATATTTTAATCAAAATGTTGGTTTGGTTGTGAATCAGACTTTACTCACTTATCTGGGTACAATATTATAATGGCACTATTTGGTAAAACTTACAGAATATAAGGCACGTTACAGACTTCAAACAATATGGTAGCGACATCTATCTTTGTCCGACATGGTGCATATATTTTGCAGTATGAGGGATATAGGTACTAAATTAAAAATAATGCTTTCCTCATGGAAACTATTTGAGGAAAGTTCTACTGATTTCAAGTTATAACGGGACGGCACTCGTATTGACGCGCAACGTTCGCGGGGCAGCGTATAGATAGATAGAGACAGATAAGACTAACAAAGATAAAATGTCGCTACTAGGTACATCATTTAAAACTCAAATTATTTTAATTCAGCCTTTATGTTCATAGGTACAAATGTATGATTCAACCATTTTGCACCAATCTCTCCATCGGCTAAGCATGGCACTGTTACCAAGTAATTGTGACTGGAATTTGAACCTAATAGCTTGCTACTTAAAGTCTACTGTGGTATTGGGCAGGAGTCCAGTAAGACATTGTGTATGGACTCCATTTCCGTCCAGTCTCGCTGCTGACCACCTATCGAGACGTCGCGGATGCATCCGTTGAAATTCTTACCACCTTCTGTTGATTCCATTACACCTTCTGAAATATTACATCGATTGGTATAGTTGTATAGAGCACTTATTTTCTTGTCGAACTGAAGTATTAACATTCAAAGACCGTGAGACGCTTTCTGGAGTGAATTTATGATTAACGAACAGTCCTCTATTATGAGTGACTACAGTTTCTGGGCATAAGGTGCAGATTCTAGAGGAGAGACAAAGAAACTGCTACAGATAAACTCGGATCACATAAGCCAGTACAAGACTGCGAATTTAAACCATTACAAGTAACATCGAATATGACATACCAGGCAGCCCGCCGATGTATAGCGCAGTAGGCGTGGCAGCGGTATCAGTGGAGTCCAGCAGTAGTGCCGTGGGCGCGTCCCGGACGACGTGTCCGCCGTCCAGCTGCAGCTGCAGCGCCCGCGGCGTGACGCGCGCCCGCAGCGCGTGCCAGCCGCCGTCGCACGCGCCGCCGCCGCCCGCGCCGCGCCACCACACGCGCGCCCGCTCCGCGCCCTGCCGGGACAGCACCACCTGGACATAATCAATACGAGATACTTAGATACATCCAAATCGCAATACAAGCTTTCACATCATTTAAATTGGGCAGTGTTACTTACAACATCTAAGTATTTCTGGTTATATTAAACGTGATCAGTTCAATTGGTTGAAGATATCTGCTTCAAAATGAAGTGGCAAGATTCCACTTCACAAACATACATACGTCGTAAGTTAAATAAACAATTTGTAAATGTGTAATATATGAATGAAATGATCGTGTTGTATGTGTCATTTGTAGTCATTATCCCTAGACACTACTTTAGAGAAAACGATCCTCATTAGTATAGTATTTTTATCAATGAATAGGTCTGCAAACAAGCAGATATAGAATACAACAGAATACAATGTCATTTATTTTCCAATTGATGGTAAGCGATCGACACTACCCATAGATGCCTGCTACACCACAAGAGTTACAAGTGCCTGCAACGGCCTGTTTGGAGTGGGGGATTGGATGTTCGGTAGCCTCACTCACACAATAACGTAGTATAGTTCAGTACAGTGTAGTATAGTGCAGCATACCGTACCATAGTGTAGTTTAGTGAGGCGTAATGCAACCTATTGTAACTTTGTGTAACGTTTATCGATTCACGAGTAAATAGTTGACTTACAGCTCCATCTTTAACTTCAAGCAGTAGGCCTGCAGCAGCCAGTAGTACTCCGTTAGGTTCGCTAGTCCGGAACTGCAGCCTCAGCTCAGTGGATGCCTCGGAACCGTCTGAAGTCAGTAGCCAGGCACTTGACCAGGTCGCATGGGCATCACCTATACAAAGTACATACTTACATTATTAAAGGATATTATTTAAAAAAGGTGCCACCATTTGTAAGTATTTAACAAAATTGGTTTTGTAGTTTACTTGTTAGGTATATTTATAGCAAAAACTATTTATTGACATTTTATATAGAGGTATAGTAATCAACATTATAATTACGCGTATATTTTTTTTTAGGGGGGAATATCATCGCATTCGATTATTATCGATCATTAATCGCGGCAGAAGTCATTACTTCTCCCGCCTGGGTGAGATGGGAGGGAGTGTCAGACTTACTGACTAAAATCCACCCCGTTCCTACTCCTGCACTTCGAGCAGGAGTCCCGGTAACTTTTACGTTTTCAAATGTGTTATTATGTTTCATCTCTCATGAAGATTTTTACTTATCAACTTACCTCCGAAGTAAGCAGCTTGTTCTACATTTGGGAAGCACTGGCCGACACCGTGGTGCGCCTGCGCATCTCTCACTAAGTCCTCTGCACGTCCATTCAGTGATACGCGACGGATGCAGCCTCGGAAACCAGGGATACGAGTGATCTAATAAAACAGATGTACTTTATAATTTACTCTTAAAACAACTTAGGATCTTGCTATGTGAGGACATGATGACAAGAATAAGAACAGAGAACAATAATTTGTGCATTAACAAACGATCTACAATAAAAATCATAGCATCGGACCAATAATAGAAATAAGTAAAGAACACTCACAGCATTAGGCAGATTAGGTAGCGCAGGTGGAGGTGGTAGACCGGCTACATATAGCCTCTGCGCCCTAGCAGCGGCCCCCCGTACAGTGGCGGATGCGCCTGCGCATGCTAACCAGGCTCGGCCCCGCGTTACTTTCAGCGACACCTGTCGCCAGGCGCCGTCACTGACAGTGGGGGGAAGGGTCACTTCCTTCCGCTTGCGCCCGCGCACCACCAGGCGTAACTTGCCCTCACGTAGCATTAGACACATGAAGTGCTTTGGTTTTGCTTTGGAACCCTGTTGAAATGTGTTGTGTAGTTGGAAATAGTGAAATGACTACTTCAGTAATTATCCTGTTGAAAATCATCCCCTAAATTTGTTCATACAAAAGTAGTCTCTAAATATCGGAAATAAGGTCTATAATGTAGTTAGTGGAGAGCGGTCACCGGTGACCGCTTGGGGATAAATGACATTATTCTTAAAAACAACAAGGCAGATTATTTCTACAAAGGAAAAAAAATGCATCAAGAGCTATCATAAACGTAACATAACATAACATCACGCCTTTTCTCCCCAAAGAGGTAGGCAGAGGTGCACATTATGACACTTAATGCCACTGTACAATTCAACACTCACTTTTCACTATTTATGTTATGAGTCATATACTCTTGCCATATACCGGACATAATTTTAGACTCCGTGCTAATGCTGAGATTTTTAAAAAACCCAGTAATATTTTCCTCGACTCGGGAATCGAACCCAAGACCCCTTGCCCGGCAGCCGCACTTGCGACAACTCGGCCAATGAGGCAGTCAAGAATAATATCAGAAAATAATGTATCAATTAACAAATCAAACTACAGCTCTGGATTACACTGGTAAGAATCAGTCAATCAGTAATCAGTTAGTACATACCGGTGCCAGTAACAACAGTCCATCAGTAGCATATGTCCGTATCTGCAGCGTGATGGCAATATCCCCACGTTTGCGCGTGCGCAGCCAGGCGTGGCTATGTGATACGTCGCCAAACTTCACCGCGCCTGCCTCCACAGTGTACGATGATGTCTAGGGAATGTCGACTTATTAAAAGAATTATAGTTTTAAAATGTTCAACAGTATTATTGGTAATTATACTACATGTGAATGATGACGATGAATGTGTGAAGTATATGAAAAACAAGTAATACTTGGCTCGTAAAGTATAATAATGGCGGTTCAGAATTTTTTGAGATCGCATAAAGATATAAGATATACATAGGAGTAAACGAAACGCTCCCGAAACGCTGACAAAAATAAAATCGTTTTTATAACTTTAATCGTTTTGTTTCCATGCCATTCATGCAACATCATGCAGCCTTTGGCTGTCGATTACAACTATTATTACATAAAAGAAACATTTACTTCCATACTTTATAAAAATAAAACATGTTTTTTACCATCCATCGACATATAGATACCTACTAATGGACATGCCTTAGATATGAGAATTGTGGCACTCCGAAAGAATGAGAGGAAACGAAATTTCGGTGTATCTTTATCTCTCTCAAAATAGTAGCGTAATGAGCGAGAAAGAGATAGCGCTAGACTGAAAGCATAGGCCATCTCTCTCACTCTTTTGAAACCAAAAATTTACTGCAGATTATATTATACGCGTACGGCATGTCCATTAGTATATGTCGATGATACCATCATTATTATTCTTCTCAACAATTTTGTATTCCAATGGACATTAATGAAGTTACTGGCTGATAAAACTACAGTACCTTAGTACAGGCGGGCGCGGCGTCATGTTGTGCGTGCTGTGTGGGGGGTGGAGGGGGTGCAGCCCCCGCCCCCTCTTCCGCACGACCTAACTGGGCGCCGTGCCATGACACTGCTGTCTCTAGACCTATCAGCCTGGAGAAATAAATAGACATAATAATAGGTAATTAACCCTTAAGATTAAGACAAAACAGGTTTATTTGAAAAACTTCGTATCTGGAGAGAACTTGAAACTTTACAAAAAAAACAACGTAACCGAACATCATGCCATTTATCCTCGAAGGGGTAGGCTGAGGTGCACATTACGGCACTTAATGCACTTATCTACACTAGATTTTGTTGAGTAGAGTTGAAATTCGACTACAACTGTTAATTCTTCTATTCTTATGTAAGAATAACTAAAACTCACTCGGAATCCACGATGAAGTCAGCAATGGTTCCTTTGAATGATTCCAGTGGTATCCCCGGGTGTGTTACCCCCTTCACCCCCGCGAGGAACAATCCCCCTGGTCGTGGGGGGTAGGCCCCTCCTGGTAGCGCGCCCCGAGCTAGCTGCTCGTCATCCACACAGAGTTCTAACTGGAATACAAGTTAAAATGTTAATCAGTAAAATAATTTAATTTTTATTTCATTAAATCAACTATCTACATGTGTAGCAATAAAGTATGTGTATTTGTGTTACTAAGAAAGTTGTATCCTTATTATGTCTAGATTATATTTGTATTATAATTTCATAGGAGTGACTTGCTTTTGTTATGGAGGTACATATTATTTACCTGTTTATGCATCCTTATTATCGTCACAGTGTGCATCCTCCCGTCATCGAACCTGGTTCCGTTGGTTCGCAAGCGTATCTCTCCCTTGCCAGCAGCTGCCACTAGTTCTAACTCGCCTACAAAAAAATTTCAAAATTAAAGTTGCTACAAGCTTGACAGCTATATTGACAGCTACCTATATCTTGCCATTAACAGCGTACAAATACATCAAAGTAATTTACTATTTATAATTACATATATGAAAAAACATAATATGATAAAATAGGACTGAAATTAATAGATTTTTGGTACTACTTGTACCAAGTTTCTGTCAAAAACAAAGATTAATCCAGAGATTTAGGAATTAGATCGGTCATTAATCTCAGCCGTGAAATTCAACACTTAAATTTATTAGATCTTTGTAAATGTTTTACTTCAAGCGTTTTAAACATACCTGCAATCAACACGAGCGCGAGGTAGTGCAAGTCCTCTGGTGAGTCAGGGGCGCGGTACATTATCACTCCCTCCTGCGCACGCGCACTGAATGACACGCCCAGCTCTGTCTTACGGCGGAGTGAGGGGGACGGGAGCTCTATGTAGCCTTCGCCTGATACAATCGCTGAACGAAGTGTCTAGGGATTAAGAAAAAGTAATTATATAATAAGTATTACTTACAAAAATATTAATGATAGCTTCTATAAAGAAATAATAATGTATTTAACATGAAGCGTAATGCAACAAAAACATAAACATACAAAAAATACATAAAGTTTCTACATTATTAAATTATGATGAGCTTACAATAAGCTTCTAAACGACAAAAACACATGTCTCACCCTCTCCCCACAGCGTGGCTCTAGACCGTGCCTAGTGGGGGCATCCAGCAGGTCATACCCAGCGCGGTCCACGGTGACAGCGCCGACACAGCCCAGCAGTGGAGGGGCGGGCGCGGCGCCCCCGCGGCCCGGCGGGACGCCCCCCAGCCAGTAGACGGCGGCGGCGAGGTCTGGCAGCGCGGCGGCGGCCTGCACGGGGGGTGCGGGGGACCCCAGCGTCTCTTCGCCGTTCACGCGCAGGCTGCCTGCCACAGGACCACCTCAATACACATGCTACACGACATTTCTCCGATCTTAAGTAGTTTTTAAGATTATTTAGAAATTGAAGACACCACATTTTAAACGTAAAGGGGTAACCAAGCTCGGGCTTGGTCGGGCCCTGTCTCGACCGGAATGATACCCCGGCCTTAGAGAAACCAGCTTGTAATAACGCCTGTGTCGTGTAAAGCAAATACTCCAGTGTGGATCAACATTTACGTTGTATGCAATCATCAGCTATGCGAGTGAGGTTATTTATTGAACGCCTGTTTTTTCCTCCCATCCTCAATGGGCAAATTTCTATCCCCAAAAAGCTGGCAATTTGTAACGCCTTGTCTCTAGTATTGCCAGGATGTCAATGGATAGTGAAGTTATTGGTCCGTCTACTCATTTGCCACCTTATCTCATTGTGGATAGCCATGGGCGGCATTAATTGATTACCATAAAGTCCCGTCTGCTGTCCTGACCCAAAATCGACCGCCTCGAAGAGTATCGAGTATAATAGATAGTGACTTATTTATTATTTTTACATCACTTGTCATCACATTCATATGCTATCAACTAAAGTTCAATGACAATTGCCAGAGCTGGCGAGCACGTTACCTTTCTCGAGCTTGTTGCTGGCGAAGACCCTGGTGGCCTGTACGTGCGCGGGCCGGCCGGCGCAGTGCGAGCCGGCCGCCGTGATCTGCAGCCGGGACCCGCCGTACTCCACGTCGAACACTACGCGACACGACCGGAGCCACACTGACACTGAACGGTTCTGGAGGAAAACATTATCATTTTTAATCTTTGTACACAAACATTTCGTTTTATTTTATATTTGAGGGGCCGACGTTTGACCACTATTTCGCCTGGTGGTAAACGATGATGCGGCCTACGATAAAGCACATCGTCCCATAAGGAACCTATTCATTAGGGCCTTGAAGACACCTAGGTGTCAGGAAATACAGATCTGTTGATAGGTCAAGTAAGTTATTGTCAAGGGGCATTTGCAAGTTGATATTTTCATAAAGTAAGTAAAGGTTCCAGATGTCTGGATTGCCACAAATATGATGGTTTACCGGTCATAATGAGGCAGTGGCGTCGAGTATTTTCTGAACAATGGCGCAATTTTCCCAATTTTCTAAAGGATACTTAAGTTTTAACTTACGATACGAACAGGACAACCATAACTTTAGTTGCTAACAATAGTAGAAAAAGAATAAAATTATACATACGTTAGCAGTATCGAGTGCCATGAACAGCAGAGCATCTTCGTCCCTGGTTCGGAATGTGAATGCGACACTGAACTGCCTCCTGTCAGCCGGGCGGGCCCTGGACCGAGCCAGCTCCACGTACCCGGCACCGTTGAACCACACCATCGACGGCTCGCTGCCACGGCCACTGTACCATCTGGAAATAGAATATAAGCATCATTATCATCATTAGCCAGCAAATATCTACAGTTGAACAAAGCCCTCCCTTTAAGGGAAAGAAGCGTCGCAGTTAGTTGAGTTTTTTTCTCATATCGTTAAAGTGTACTGATTAAGTGCCGCTAAAATTAGTGCCTTATTTATATTTTTAATAAAATATGGAACTCCAAGTTTGCATGTGTTCAATTTTACTGTAATTATTTATTTGGTAAGAAACTTTTTGTTTGTTTCCTGAATAAAACTATATGTATATGTAAATAAAAAATGTACTATACCTTTGCGTGCAACCAGTACACTGTGCATCGCGTGGTTGGTGAGCGAAGTTCCACAATCCGAGCGTTCGCTGGTCCGAATATAGCGCGTGTACGCAGGCCGGTAGCCCGGGGCCCGACGTGGGGCCCGTAGTGCCTTCGTTGGCGGCCCCCAGCCACAAGCGACGGGGGCGTAGACTGTGTGCTCGCGGGGCGCTAGAGTTACGGGCAGTGACGGCGTTGGCGCCAGCTTTTTCCACCACTAACTGTACCGAGTTCCATACCCTGGTAACAGACATTGCAACTTACTTATACGTATTTACCAAGCATTAGTACTGTATGACTTCAATACATTATTGAAGTTTAGTGGTGAGGGTGAATCAAGTATAGCTCCTTAGTACAAGTCAAAGCACTGACTTGATGTCGTCAGGAAAATTACTGAGCTGTTCAAAAACAATAATAGTCGAAAAATAGAAAACATATTAGCACACATCATTTAATGGGTAAAGTGCACACACACACACGCACACAATACCATATTTCAAAGATACTCTACTTCCACACGTACTAACCGTTCAATCTCCACCCTGTAGGAAGTATGGTCTGCATCATCATGCGTGTGCTGCAGTATCTCAGGGTGCACCAGCTCCCCCTCCCCGCCCCCCAGCTGCCACGACAGGTGCAGCTTGCTGTTCAATACTGATAACTTCATGTAACGCTCCGTATTCTGTGTATAAATTAAAAAAAGGTAAAATACGATGAGGTAAAAGTAAATACTTTGAAAAACATTTTTGAACTGTTTGAAGTTTAGCAGTACAAAGGCATGTATACTCCTTTTCTTACCCAAGTACAGTCTTTTATACCTACGTATTGAGTTTGATCATTCATACATTTTGGTGAATCAATAATAACATATTACCAATCATTAAAATCATAAACTAACGAACTACCGGAGATCTAATCTCCTTCCCTCTTGCCCAAAGACAAGCAATGCACTAGTAACGCCTGTGTGGCGTGTCCATGGGAGGCGTAGATTCTTTAGTATTAGGTAATTCGACAGTTTGTTTGCCGCCATATGCAATAAAAAGAAGATTTACAGTTCAAAGTACCTGTGTATCATCTCCGAGATACAGTAGAGGTCCGTCCCTGACCTTGTTGTCGAATGATAGAGCGAGTGCCAGGCGAGTGACGGCGGGGGACGCTGACGTGACACTGTATGCGCGTGCGCAGCCCACTCCTGCGCCCGGGACTGATGTTAGGGATACTGAGATCTGGAAACATGTTTTGTTATAGTGTCTTTTAATTGGGTACTTATTTAAATTGTAAGTAAGTAGCAGCTGTAAGTATGCAGTATGCACTGACCGTGTGCGCGGCGTGTCGCGCGCGCGCCAGTTTGTCGCGCAGCAGTGCGAGCGCGGGCCGCAGCTGTGTGCGCGCGGCGGCGTGCTGCTGCGCGCGCGCCCGCGCCGCGTCCGCCAGCGCGCCCGCCGTCTCCGCGCCGCGCACTGTGTTACTGCGGATCTGGGACACTGCGGGGAGAAGGTAATTATGCAGTTGAATATTTACTGCAGGTAGTATTTTTTTAATTGGAAAAGTTATATTTTCCACCCATAGCTACTTGTAGCCACGATCTACAATAAAATGCTGGAAAACCTTCAAAAGTTATTGCATCGCGATAATATTAACAACTGTTTTAGAGCTCATAAGAAAATTAACTATTATTCATCTTAGTACCAGTAGAAAAAAAATGGTTTTCACAACCATCCTTATACAATATTAATTGACACCCACTCACCATGCTCTTGCGCAGCTCCTAGCGCGGTATCTCCATGTCTCTGTAACTCAGTGAGCTGTCTTCTCAAATGGTATCTGACCCTCCTCCGGAGCTCACTGGCCTCATCGTACAGTACCCTGGTGCTGGTGAACACCCTGTCTGCCTGCTCGTTGGCTGCCTGAAGGATCTCCTGCACGTTGGCCTTGGGTCGGCCACTGAGCTCCCTCTCCTGCCATCCTAGACCTCTCAACACGACGCTCACTACGTCAGCTCCGCGGCGCAGATGTTCTAGTTGGTTTCTTAACTCTGTAACAATGGTTTTTAAGTTAATATTGCAATGAAAACCGGTCACTCCCAATGAAATGAGTCTATTTGGAAGTCAATACTATGTAGATAACAAACAATATGACGATGATTATGGTAGAATATAAAGAAGTATCTAAGGTAATTATCATGTTTTCGGCTTAGCCAAGTAACTGTTTGAGAAGAAACTCGACTTGTTTCAAGCCATGCTAGAGGCTTATATTCATGAGCAGTATTCTGAGTAAGCCAAAAACATAATAATTAATTTGCTCTCTTGAAAGTTTTAATATAAGTACCTATCTAAGAACTGGTATTCTGTAGTTCTTGCTAAACCAAAACATTAATAAAAGTACAAGTATCTCTTTGCTTATTTACACGAAAGTCAATAAATTAATTTATACAAGACTCATCCCAAACTTCCAGGTGTACTGGTGGAAAATTACAAGCATATAGTACTCTACTACCTTTATTAGATCTCCTGTAAAGTTTAATGTAAGTTAATAACAAAATAAAATGAGAGTATACCATCAGCCTTAGCGAGCACTTGTTGTCCTCGTGCCTTTAAGTCTTCGGAAGTCTGTCGTCCAGTAGCAGCAGACTGCGCCAGCGACACGCTGCCGTGCACCTTGGCGGCGGCCGCCCCGGCGGCGCGGCCCGCCTCCTCCGCCTGCAGCGCCGCCTCGTGGACCAGCGCCGCCACCTGGGACCAAGCCTGCGCTGCTGATACTCCCAGCGAGGCTGCCGCACGACTGCCCGCGAATAACCTGGTAAAACAAATTTTGGTTTTATATGCTGGTGCGAAAATTGTTGTCAGAATTTTCAAAATAAGACTGTGTCGAGTGAAGTCTTGAAGATATGTAAAACAACCAAACAAATAAGACATAGTACACATGCATAAACTGTAATCTATTTTGTCTTCTTTTGTGTAACTTAAAAATATAATCGAACCTTTATTCCCATATTAAATAGTAGCTTACAAATAATATAGCACTTTCTAGACATACGCCGTCTCGTTTCGTTTAATTTAAATGTAAAACGACCTTGTTTGTACTAAGTCCTCAGGATAATTTCTTCGTGACACAATTATTTAAAAAATATTTTCGCTCTCAAATTACCTTTTATACTCTTTAGCTTTGATTCCCAACTCAGCAACATGTTTCTCCACGGCATCCAAGTATTTCTGCTTGTACACGGGAGTGAGGTTGTAGAGGATGCCCTCCTTCTCCTCCGCAGCCTGGGTCAGCACCGCCAGCTCTGATATTAATGCTGGGAACCTGATACCCAGAGTCTGACCCTGGAGTAACGAGCTCCGAATCTCGTCCGTTATGTTGTGTGCTGATAATATTGTGATGTCCTAGGGGCAACATATTACAATATTAAAAGTTGTTATGTTTAAAAAAATATAACAATAAAAACCTATTTGTTTTCTAAACTGCCTCGATTTGGACTCTTGCCAAGAAATTACAGCGAGATTGAACTAGATTGCAACGCTTACATCTAAGCTAAAAATTTTCAATTTTGAGTATGCTCCTCAAAACTTATTATTTATCGCACACTTTCAAATTAATTATCTATGTTTAACAACTTTTCTACATTTATATTCTTTATTCTTAGGTTCTTTATTTCAAAATTATATCAATTCTTAGGTATATGGTATTGGACTTACCTCAAGCACAAGTCGGCACCGCAGCCCCAGATCCCTGAGTGCAGCTAGTCGTGGTCGTACTTGCACTTTGAGCGCGGCGACAGTATCATCAGCCCTCCACACAGTCTCCGCCAGCCTCTGTAGCTCTGCAGCTTTCGTCTCCCAGGTATCTAGTGAAGATCTCAGCCTCGCCAGCCGTCTGTATGTGTCTTCAAGTCTATAATTCCTCTCCTGTACTGCCGTTGATTGGAGATGTGCCTGCGATTTTATTGTAAGTATTGATTAAACTAGACTGGGTTTTTTTCCTATTATTTTTTAATTGCCCAATTTAAGACTTTCTCCTGTGTGGTTAACATAACACGAATGTAACCGTTTATGGATCACACGAACAGTTGCTCCATGCGGGAATCGAACCCGCAAAATTTTTGCAGACACCGCGAATTGCGCAGTTTTAAGTTTCAATGTTTTACTAATCTCATGTTTTAATAATAGATAGTTGCTGTAAAATATATTTCTCTGCAAATGCGAATATAATAACCACCATTCTTGTAATATTTGTACTTACAGAATCAAACACATCATTGGCGCCGGTCACGTAGTCTATAAACTTGACATCCTTGATCTGTCGCAGTAGATGGCGAGCCTCCTTTATCGCCCTATGAGCACTCAGATGTTTCTCTCCTCTCGCGAACTCATCTAACACTGCCACTAGCTCGCTGACCTTCCTCCTGACTTTTAATACTTCCTCCAAAGCAGACATACTCTCCAGACTCAAGTAATCAGCATCCTTCTCCCTTCTTTGAGCTTCAGTCTTTAAACTATTCGCTTCCGTGAAGATTCTATGTTCAGCATTTTCTAGGTCTCCTAATATGTTTTCTAAGTTTTTGGAATGTACTAAATTATTCCTTAAGTGTTCGAGACTAGATCTAAGTACAGTGGCGTTGTGAGAGAACTCTCGTACTGCGGCGAATGGTTTCGGTATACGACTCAGTTCCCTTGGATCTGCTTTGGTACGTAGTTCTGCTGTTAGCGTCTCGACTGAGTCTAGGAGAGTTTGGGTGCAGTTGTCGCACGCTGAAAATAAAGTGTACGTTTAGAATATATGAATTCATGCTATGGTAATTAAGATATGACTGCTGGGGTAGCAGGCAGATTGGCATAAGGTACAGAGGCAAGGAGTAGGTACAGGTTGAAGTATTTAGTCAGGAAAAGTCTGATACTTCCTCTCACTGTACACAGGGACGAGGAGAAAAAGTACCTAATAAGTTAAATAACTTTTTGGTAGTAGAATACTAACGCCTGCATCCATTATCATCCATGTAAGTCCTGGGCGGTCTGCACTGATCGCAGCGTGGTCCGGTGGCGAAGTCTCTGCAGTGGCAGCGGCCCCAGTGGTCGCAGGTGGGGCCCAGACTGCCGGCCGGGTCGCATGCACACGCTACACAGGGGCCCGACACATCGCCCTCACGCCGCCACCCTGCTGCACATAGCTCGCACTCCGGACCTGTGTAGCCTGCGAGAGAACAATAAATGTGATTTTAAGTGAACTAATTCATAACACATCCATTCGAAAATTAACATTAAGTTAAACAGAGACCGTCCTTTATACGTAGGTGTATTGGGTAACCATTATGTTTTTGTAGTTCTGTTTATTGTCTATTGGTTGTATCTTTCGGTTTATGAGTGAAGTATTCATACAAAATATGTATTACTTAGGATAATAATCATAAAGTATGTATTTTGAAGTACCCACCAGGTTTACAGAGGCACTGTAGTTTGCCATCATGCATGATGCAGGAATCTGCGAAGTTCCTGGCGCGCTCGGGGCAGGGACAGGGCTGGCAGCCGCCGGGGGCCCCCGGGGACCCATAGTGGCCAGCCGCGCACTCCGCACACCGGGGCCCGCCTGTACCACCTGTGCAGTTCTACGGAGCAGATGGATTTGTCACTTACTAAATTTAATAGTACACAACTTTGAAACCATCCCAAATATTTTTTAAGTACGAAACCAGCATACTGTCTTAAAATGTTAAATACTTTGAACGGATTTTCAACTTTTAAAGGCGTAATATTTATTCTGCTATGGCATTTTCAACCTAATGTAATGAAGTTGAAAATCCATGAAAATTTTACTATTAATAATGGTAGAGCTTGACGTTGAGTCTGTTCACATTACAATGATTGGGAACTCACCAGACATTCTCCAGTATCAGGATGGCACTCAGTAGCCCTGCCATTGCAGATACAAGGCTGAGCCTCCTCATCCAGCTTGATAACGATGGTGCCGGCCACCGTGGACATGTGCACTGTGGGCGGGGGCATCCAGAACCCGATGGCAGGAGTCTGGCATGAGCTGGCCGAGTACCCGCGGGGACAGTCACATAGTTCCACACCTAATGCTGGTTCGGACCGACTTAGGCCAGGGATTGCCGTGTCTAATGATACGTTGAGGAGCCTGGGCACACAGAAAAGAGAATTCATTTCTTTTCTTTTTATTTATGATAGCATATTGCTGTTACCCTAAAATAAGTCAGTCAGTTTAAAAACAGGTTTAGACTTCTCTTTTAGTGGCACTGTTGAATTTTTAAAGGTAAGTAGACTATTTAAATGTTGACTCACAATGCATGTACATGCTCAGTGTGTGTGGGTGCCCTGGTAGTGACCCGTACGAGCAGTCTGTCCACGCGACGCAGCGCCAACATCAGCGCGGCCCGGGACCCGCGGGGGCCCAGAGTACGGCCCCCGCCACGGACCGACCACAGTGACTCGTGGAGACGCACCACGTGGGACCCATTTATTGCTGGATCAAGCTAAAGTAATTGAACAAGGTTATAAGTATTAGAGATGAGCATCTTACATAAATAAAAATAGGTTTTCGTATAAACATGAGTTAAGCATTTCCTTATAAATATTCTAAGAAAAAACACCGATTGAAAAGTGGCCAAATCGTACGTTTTATGAAGCTCTGAATTTCACTCAACTTCACCTGCTCCTATTTGAAATCGACCAAATAAGAATAGACATACACTATTACAAAATCATTACTTACCTCGAAATAATCAAGCACGATGTTCTTACTGTACAGCCTCACGAGAGGGAACCGGTCCAGCACCTCCTTACTCAGCTCGACCCCTCCCTCCTCTTCCACGCGGAACCTCAGGGACCCCCCGTAGGAGGTCACTCGGTCCCCTACGAAGCGTTTGTCTAGTTCTACGTAGACAGGGACAGGGGGCCAGGGGAGGGAAATTGTGGCGTCCGCTGTGTGAGTGTGGATGGCTAGGAGGGAGTCCTGGTCCATCTGGGAAGGAAATTGTATGATTAGTTTTTTAAAGTGATGAATAATAGTGGTTGGAATTTTTTCGTTTGTGAATGCGACATAATCCATACTTGATTACTTGATTACACATAAATTTTCGGTAAACAGAAACTTTGATTTTCAGTTTTACGAATATTTTCAGCAACCAATAATGGTAAACACTGTTACGTAACTTAAAACGTTACATTATGTTTATGATTAACGGAAAACAAATAAAATACTAACAGTAGTAATGACGTCATGCGGCGGTCTCTGTAGCGTGACATGCAGGGGAGCGGCAGCGTGCAGCGCAGCGCGCGCGAGCTGTGCCTGCCGACACTGCGCCGCGCGCCCGAAGCAGAAGCACGCCGTGCAGCCCACCGGGTTCTGTGCTGACAGACCGAACGTACCCTCCAGGCATTCCGAACACTTCTCGCCTACTACATTTTCCTGTAAACAGAGTTCTCATTAGTCATCACTCAAAACTGGTTCACTGTTGAAAAAATACCACCCGGTACTTTCAAATGGTAGTGATTTTTCTGCCAAGGGGACCAAATCTCCAATTGGTAGGAATTAGTTTTGGGGGAAAAGACTTGGGATCTATAGAGGAGACTAAGTTTTGAAGGTGAAGACTTCTTTTCCTTCAAAACTTAGGTCCAACCTACCTCAACTTATTGAAAAAGTTAAAATTATTAGAAGCAACGTGATAGATTGGAATCTGTAAATTATAAAGATGCCTTACCTTACAAGAACACCGTCCCCACTCGTCGCAAGGACAGAGCCCGTCCTCGCAGTCTCTAGAGCCTGCAGTATCACACTGGCAGGGCCGACACTTGGCTCCGTAGTGGCCGCGCGCGCACTGTTCGCACGTGGGTCCTTCCCAGCCCGCGCGGCACTTACACTGACCGGACTGAGGGTCGCATGTGTCTGTGGACAGTGGAGAATATCTTTGTGAACCTATGGTTAAAGATGAAGGAACAGTGAAAAAGAAAGAAGGACTATTTATATTTATGTATAGGCAGCGACCAAACAGATCGATTACTCCCGTACCACAAGAGAAGTTACCAGTGCGTTGCCAATATTTTGGGAGTAAGAAATTTGAAACTTGGGAGATTTAGGGAATGAAGATGGATAACGTCTCTTTCTCTATAATAAACGCTCTTTCTTTCTTCTTATCTTGTCTTGTTGTAAATATGTATGAACTTACTAGAGACTGCGCCCGCGCCACAGTTGCAAGGCCTGCAAGTGTTGCCCACGGCCCAGTACCCGCGGGCACACTGCCTGCAGCCCGCGCCCATGGACCCCGCCGGGCACACACACCGCCCACTGTGCGGGGAGCATACCTTCCCGTCTGTGCATTCTGGACACGCTGTATCAAGTGGAACATAAAAAATAAGATTATATTAATCAAGAAGGCTTATAACAGAAGCTGATTGAATTCTGAAGGCAAGTTTACCAATGTTAGTTTTTAAGTAAATAAAGTTGTTTCAATGTTTTGTTAGTAACAAACAATTATGATCACATTCAATAATTTTATACGTTCAGATATTTAAAAGTACCTAAATTCTAAAATAAATTGACTGGAACACAAAGTTCCACTCTGAATCGGTTCGTATGAGAGAAAACAAATAAAATTACTCACGTAGACATCCAGTAGGTCCGAAACCGTAGTAGCCAGGGAGACAGGTGTCGCAGTGAGCACCACCAACACCCTCTGCGCAGGCGCAGGCTCCTGTCTCCGGGTCGCAAGCTGACGCGCCAGGGCCGCACGCGCAGCGTCGACACCCGCCTAGGTGGAGACCCCAATAGCCCTCCTGACAAACAAATAAATAAACACTTAAAATGCTAAGTTTTATTAATTAACATGAAACTATCGTTTCGAATGAAAGCGTTTTGTTTTGTTGACGCCAGTAGATTTGATAGGCCGGCTAGATTTGACAACAACATACATTATTTTGCAATGAACTTATGTTAAATATCAATTTTACTTCTATAAAGTCGTATATCACAGATAAGGCATTAAAAATTACTACACATGTAACTTTAAATTTTAGTTTATTATTTCCATTTTTAATTAGCTCCGATATTTTCAAAATATGAAATGAAGTCGTAACCCCATTGCCTCAATTTAATCTAAAATTAATCACATCTTGAGATCTCAGCATCTGTTTATGCTGATCTATCAGTCGAGTCGTAATGGCAGATTGGCAGAATGCCATGAGACGACCATAGATAATACATATTGCGCAAAGATCATCGTATACTGAAACTAAAATGGTAAACATGAGACTTTTTAAATTCATTAATTAGGAAAATTTTTATTTGAATTTCATTTTTTTAATAATTAAGAAAAATTGTCGTAGGGACGCAGAAGTTAAAGTGCTTGCTGAATAAAATGAGGATTCGAAGCCTGGTAAGAACCAATTTGACATTATCCATAGTTTTTTAGTTTATAAGGGTGCGTCCACATCGCGCCACAAATGCCGCTCGCAAGCCGTGTGCAGTCACGGTAATGGTTTGCTGTTCAACTCATACAAGGTTCGAAATAATATGTTTAAATGCACGCCCGCAACATTCGCCACATGTGGACGTACCCTTAGACACCACTGACTAAAGTACTGTGTGGTGACTATATTTTCTTAAAGCACATAAATAGGTACTTAACTCCCAATAAAAGGTAGGCTAAAAAGATTATGTAATAAGTAAAGCAAATAAGCAACAATATCCAATAAAGCCATCGTCGAGCGTTGAACCTAACACAATGGCTTACAAGTGCTATCGGCATTCACTCAACAAGGGTCCCATTCACGCACAAGAATGCGCGTGCACACGATACCATCGCACACGCAGCGGACGCAAGCCAATGCGCATGAAGCAGTAAATTAAAACAATGTTACATTTTAAAACATAGGTAATCATAATATTAAACAACACGCCTTTTATACCCCGAGCGAAAAAGGATGGGTGCAATAGGTACATGTAAACTTCGCGATGGGAAATAGGACGAGACTATGGTGCATCGACTAATGTAGTCAAAGAGCGTATTCCAAAGATTTTCAAAATTCCTGTACTCTAAGAATTTTGGAAATCATAAAAATCTTAATAATATTCTGTCTGACTTGGTTACTCAGTTCTTATGTGGTCTAGGTCGGAAAGTAGAGGTCGATTAGAGACTAAAATAAATCATACTGTTTCAATATACGACCAGCCTTTAAATAATAAATTATTGATGTTGATATTTTGCCGGTTTATGGCCGGATTAGTACTAAATCGTGCCGTAGACTTTTATTCTACAGAGAAACTATTTCAGTTATGGTTGCCATGGGATTAGGGATGTAGACGGACTGAAAACCGAATGTTTGCACTATAGTAACAGTTTTCTGACCCGCGCTTAATATCCTTCTCGATTGAGTCCCAGTGCAAGGTTCCTTAACATTTAAACATGCGCACCTCTGCTAATCCCTTCGAAAATAAAAGACGCTACGTAAACTAATTAGCCAGCTTATTATCCAAGACTAATAGACGTAACAATCTCACTTTGACCCAGATGTTCACTAGCCAAGTCCTTTGAAGTCCGTCTTACATTCATCTTCTACAATCCAGGGTCTTATAGCCATGAGGCATTAGGCTCTAGGCAGCTATATGCTGTGACCTACTTCCGCAAATACTTGCACTGTCCGAATGACATTTAATTGAGTCTCCGCGGTACGATTCCGATACAAGCGACACCAATTATTGGTATTATGGGCGACAGGGCCGCATTTGAGAATGGTTTTTTAGGTTTGTTTATGTTTTGCTTGCATAGGTTTTGTTTGGTATTTTAGGTAGGAATTAAACTACTGCTAATGTAATAATGTCAGTTGATGTAATATAAAATATTGACTGTCGATTGGGTAAATCTAATTAAGATTGTGTTGCCAAAATTGGTCAGAATAAGAAAAAAACATAAACATGACGTCTTTATTCGTCAGCCATGGCCGTCATGTAACAGTGATTATGTGAATTACAATAATGCCAAAGTACATTAGTGAATAATGAGCAGTATATTCCGAAATAGTAAAGCCTCTGTTGCTACAATCTCTTTCTTAAAGCAAATTTAAGTTTCAATTTCTTAAAAGTAAAAGAAAGTTGCACCTCAGTAAGATACATCCCTGTACGGTACTTATATCGTAAGTGACAGCGTGTAAATTCAGTTTCATTTTGCGTGACAGTTACTGTTTCTCTCATTTCGCAGTTATAAGTAAAGTACATTGAAGCAATTGAATCGAATACTTCATACGAAGTATATTTACGACAAGTATATTTTATGAAAGAACTTGTTCATTGAAAAGGGTAGGTACTGGTATTAGGTACTTACCTAAATAATATATCAATTTCTTCTAGGAGTAGTCAACATCGAAATGTTTCTTTGTAGAGTAAAGTGATATCTATTTTTGTCTGTATTTTTAGTGAATTAATGTTATTTACTGTTGTGTAATAAGTGGTTTTTCTCGTACAGTCAAAAAATGAAATAAAGAAATCTATAGTTTTACACTATAAAATGCATATGAGTGTAGCGTTAAGGTACGACTTATTTTTCGAAACTCTTATAAAGAATTACTAAATTCAACACGTTAACTGCCACGTATGTCACCGGTGACCGGGGTTAGCAAAGGATTTGCCTTCAACAGTTTTATGATGGCAGTTTATGAAAGAAAAGCTTAATTTATCAACTAGGAACAACATGTCCTCCATTCATTAGTCGCCGGAAAAACAAGCATACAGCATCGTTACATTGATTATTCCCTTGTAATCCGTCCCTGTTTAATCATACAGCGGGTTCGTATAAATCGTGGACTGTTTCCTGAGTCCGTTCCGTTTATTGCTAAGAAATGTCACGGGGACATTTCCAACAGACCGCCGTTTGAATATCAATGCGAAGTACGAATGGATGTAAATTGTTTGCTCGGAATCCTAACTGTGTTGTGCAGCTGTGCTCGACTGAGAACTGAGGGAAACAGGAGGTGTTTCATTGTAAACGGGACTCTGTACTTAGTAGAGCAGTCTATGAGTGATTTACGACTCTGTGTTGTGATTTTTAACTTTAACTTTTCGTCTTAAAGTTGAAATTAGTGTACTTTGAAATGACGTCTGCATAATGAATGTCATAGAATCCCAGATTAACATAATTCTGTAGGTAACATGAAAGGTTATGAAGCTGCTTTGTCATTTAATGATCGAGTAAGAATGAACTTTACGTGCTTGTAATAAATGCGAAAACTAATAACTTTTACTTGATTGACACTTAACAGCGCGCGTTTTATGAATGAACTTTATGTTTAGAAGTAGAAGTTCCACAGATATTGTAATGATAGGCATAATACTGTTTAAATTGCGCACATTCTTTTGTTTTTTTTATTAGTTGTCGCAATGAAATGGCATTTCAGACGTAAGTCAGCCTAGGCTTAGTATCTACCGGTTCTTCAGTATAATTTTAGCAAAATTTAATGCAAGATAAGTAAGTTCAAAGATACAAACCTCGCATGTTTCACAAGCTCTGCCCGTAACGTGTTGCTTGCAACGGCACTGCCCCGTGCGAATGTCGCACACGTTGCTCTCCGAACCGATCGATGAACAGTTGCACCCTGTAACAATGAGAAAAATATTTTAAGTAAAAAAAAATATTTTACACCCTTATTTCATTGTATGTTATGAAACCCACCATGGTACAAAAATAATCATCGAAACCTATAATTAAAATACTGAACTGGGAATTCTGGGAATATGATTTTCCTAACTCGAGCTTCGTACCTAGGACCCTAGCTCTGTAATCAATGACTCAGTAATATTTAACCACAGCTAATAATTTGTAAATTGATATTCATAATTATTGTAATATCTGTGGCATTCAATTTCAAACGTCATCGTTTTGGAATGCCGCCTACGCGTTCCAAATTCAAATCCAGATCAATTTGCTAATGTGTCCGACAGCTTAGCGACTGTTAGTGAGGGGTAATTTAATACAAGATATCCTCCATTTTGTAAATATGTATTTAGATGGTAATACAATGTCGTTAATATAATTTCATCGAGGTAGACATTGCCGGTGGTTTTGCTTGATTGCTTAGAGGATCACCAGCTGTTCAGCGGCCAACAATACGGCTTCCGTTAAAGTCGGTTTGCTGTTGATCTACTAGTTCATTTACCACGACGTTTAGCACAGGCATTAAGAGTTGATAGCGCTGACAGTTAGTTTGGACCGAAGCCCTTAAGTCTAATTTGGCATTAATAAATACGAAATATTTTCTTTTCTGTCTTGTCTATTACCTTCCAAATTAAATCGATCTTAAATAAATTCTACAAAAAATATAACTTTTATATTTTTTTTTACAAACACACAAACATGCCTACCTTTTACTAAGTATACTAAACAATTAGCTCAAAGATAAGACACTGATTACCCACAAAGTGGTCGACAGGACGGCAGCTTTAGAGCCCGTGATATGGAACCGTTGTAAACAATATCATTTAGATAATGTAATATAACCTGTATCAACGATTAGCGATTAATGATCAGCAGGTCTGGGAGGTTGCAGCAGGATATTAAACTTATAATAATGGCTACTGAAAAGAATTCTGATAATAAATGAATACTTTTATAAGAAGCAATGGGCGAAAATCTTTCGTTCATATGGGAATTAGTTAGTCTCGCTAAAACTCGAGAACGGCTGAAACGATTTGGCTAATTTTGGTTATAAAATGTTCATGGAAGTCCAGGGAAGGTTTGAAAGGTGAAAAAAAAATTTTAGGCGGTACGAAGTTTGTCGAAACAGCTAGTACGTAATAAATATGTCGAAATACGTCCACAAATGAAAAAAGATGTCTTTTTATAAATGGAGATTTCCATAATCCCCATGCATGGCAGACAACATGGCGTTGGGCACTGCAACTTTACTATCAACATTTAATTTAAACTCTATCGACGGCTTTTCGGAGATAGCTACATATACCTCTATAGACAGAGCTTTATTAAAGGAAACGAGTTCAAATATACATTAAGTGCATTTACCTAATGTTAATTTATTAAGTATATTCCGCTGTTCCCATGAGAACAGACCGAAAATACATAGTAATATATTCATTCCAATTCCATAAATTAAGTTTCACATGTATTTAGACCAAATCGCACAGAAATTCGAGAACTAAGCACTGCATGGATTGTTATTGTTCATAATAACAAAACAATGGCTGACACAAAATGCAGGTGTACTAGTTACAATCAAAATACACAAATATCAACCTTATGCAATTAATTATGAGGTAGAAAATGGTTTGAATAAGTTGTAAGGTTGTGTTCCCACGGTTGGAGTTATTAGAAGTTATCGATTATTGTTTCAATGATTGTACCTAATTGTGATAGATATGATTGTTTAATGTTTCGTCGAATATGGCGCATATTTCAAATTAGCCTTTAAATATATATAAACCGTTAATAATAAATGGAAGCCATAGAGTAGAAAATTGTTAGTCAAAGTTGGTAAAAAACAGACGAAAATCAATTTGGTTATTTCTGTTTCAGAGAGTGAACCTGTAACAGTAACAATACAATTTCCGACCTGATTCTTTAATACGAGTACTATCCAAAGATCCAAAAATTAAATAAGTGTGGGAGAGCCACGGCACGAATGGGCCAGCTCGACCGGAGTGATACCACGGCCTCACAGAAAACCGACGTGAAGCAACGCTTGCGTTGTGTTTCGTCGTGTGAGTGAGGTTACCGGAGGCCCAATTACCCTCCCCTTCCCCAATCTCCCCAAATCCTGAATCCCCAACGATCCCCAAACTCCTAATCTCCAAAAGGCCGGTAACGCACTTGTAACGCCTCTAGTGTTCCAGGTGTCCATGGGTGGCGCCGATTGCTTACCATCAGGTGATCCGTCTGCTCGTTTACCGACTTATGCCATAAAAAAAAAAAACCTAAGGAATTATTTATTTTTCCAACCCGGTAAGACAACTTATTTTTTCAAGATATATATTATTTAACTTCTTACTGTTGATACGCCGAAATTAAAACAAAATGATGAACAGATTACTAAATTAAAATTTAAACATCAATTTGCTAGCAATCATCGTTCGTCATCGGCCGGAAATGTGATGATGGAAACATAAAGAACTCAATCAATTGAACTCCATCATCGAATTAAATAATAATAATTCCTAAAACGAATTCTCTTGATCATATCATTCTGTAATTATAGCAAGTTTCCCACGATAGATTTAATTTCTGAATAATTACGGTACTCGAGATTCGCGGAACCAAAAGCGGGTTTCAATTAATGACTTCATTATTTTATGAAGTGCATTTATGCTCGTCGACTTCCTCGTTGGCCAAGTGGTCGAAATTGCCGGTCAAGGGGTCTCGGGTTAGATTCCCGGGTCAGGCAAAGTATACTGGGTTTTAAAAAAAATCTCAGTACTAGCACGGAGTCTTGAATTGTGCCTGGTATACGGCAATAGGCTCGCCCCTCATTACATGGGACTCATAACATAAACAGTGAAAAGTGGGTGTTACTTCTCTGTGCATCACTGCTTACCCCTTTGGGGATAAAAGGCGCGATGTTATCTTATGTTATGTTATGTTATGTAGATTTGTGCTGGAAATTATTTTAAGAAATATCTAGATACCTAGACGTCTATAATAAGCTGTCTATACTTAGGTTTAACATTCAACAAAAAATTGCAATTGTTTTTAAGGAAAAGTACAATTACTATTCAGTTATGACGAGTATTTGTGTTTCAAATAGCTTCAAACATCTAAACTTACACACCAAATAACGTCGCGGAGAACCTCACGGGTAACCGGGGCTCCGGCTCGACGTGCAGGAGAAGGAACGGGGTGGTTTTTAGTCAGTAAGAGTCTGACACTCCCTCCCGCCTCACCCAGGCGGGAGCAGTCATTCGATGACTTCTCAAAAAAAAAACACCAAATAACAATATTTTCAAACAAAAATACCAAGTACCTATTCTACCAAAAATTTATTCGATGGACGCCAAAATAAACATAATTCGCAGCGACAACTATCGCGATTACATCTACAATCTGTTCCCAACGACTACTTTCCAACAATTAGCCCCAGCTAAAGATTTATCTAGCTATCCTAGGTAACATCTATCGTAAATTAAGCTAATCTTGTAAGCAATTAAGCTATTTGTATAAATCTAGGAGAAAATCCCAGTCAAATTCCTAGGAAGCTTGTCTTAACTGTACATTCTGAGAGAGACGCTGTCAGACACTAATCGATGTTTAAGTGAGTGTCGCAATAAATGTCAGGGATCTCGGACATTCAGTTTTCGGTAAGGTGTTTCATTAATAGTGAGTTTTATTGCTTTGTTAGTTCCCTGTTGGAATATATATTAGTAAATATCATTTAACAGCTTTTAGTTGGCCTTTTGGAACAAGTTAGTTATTACTAATAAAGGTTCTCGTGTATTGAAAATGTCGAAAACAAACGTTTAGCAATATAATTAATGCATTGTTTCATAAGTGCTAACTAGAGGCCCGCGGCCGCGGCTCCTCAACCTCATTAGTTTGTATTTCATAAATAGAGGTTATAATTGTCTATGTATGGTATGATACACCTATTGGAAAATCTTAGTTTTTTTTAAGGGGGAGAATCATCGAATGACTGCTCCCGCCTGGGTGAGCCGGGAGGGAGTGTCAGACTCTTACTGACTAAAAACCACCCCGTTCCTTCTCCTGTACGTCGAGCCGGAGCCCCGGTTACCCGTTAGGTTCTCCGCGACTCCGAATCGGCAACGGCCCTGTTGGGCCCCATCTGTGGTGGCTCTTTGAGGCGCGCGCGGAAGGCGACGCGCTGGTTTTTAGGGTTAGGTTAATATTATTTATATTTCCTAGTCTTGCTATTTTTTCTATTGACCGTTGATAAGATATAGAAAGATAACGTGTACATAAAGCTTGTCCAAACACAAACGGGCCAAATACCGTACATGGCCCGTATTGGAATTGTAACGTGGTTTCAACATAATGTCTTAATCTCCAAAACTTGTACTTTGTGGTAAGAAAACGCCTGTGGTTTATAAACAAGAGATTTAACTGATTTACTAGTTCGTGAGTTGGTAAATAACTTAACTGATCGGTACAATATATGTTAAATTGGCAGTTAAATTTCAGTAATTGACTAGTACTTTGGTATATTTTTGGAGTTTGATTTAGTTATCTACTTATTTTCTTGTATATTCTTAGTATTAGGGTATTTATCTATGACATTGCCGTTCTGGAGTAATGGCCATTTCAAATCAAAAGAACTTTGGTTTGGCTAAGAATTCTAATTTCAAATTAACTTTGAATTCCAAAATTAATTCCATAAGTAGTCATTTGTTTACTTTTAGTGTTACATTTTCATCGCATTTCAATCTTTTTCGTCATCATGGATACGTTAAAAAATCGAGTAATTGTATGGAATATGAGTACCGTCGTGGCAGCAACGCGGCATAAGTGGCACGCAACATCAACAACATTTACGGTACATTATAAATATAGAAGTATATGTAGTAAGTTCGTTGTGAAATAGGTTTAATGATTTTGACTCACCGTAGTAATTTAGAGTCTGGAAATATGCCTAAT